TTATCGATCGAATTATGTATATTCGCAAATTAGCGTTCTTGTTCCCTGTCCCTCGAGCGCGTATATAATAACTCTTCCTGCGTCTTTTCCCGTCGCCGCGGAGATAGTATAAAAAACAAAGGTCGTCGCCTGAAAAAAACATCAATGGGAAATGAAATAAAGTAATGCAAAGAAGCTTTATACATTACCATGCTGATATTTATGATATTATAAAATACAGTGGGAATTTCTGCCAAGATTTGTGGCGCTGTCTAGCTGTCTTTTTGCCGGCGCAATTCTTTTGATAGCGCCCTCCGTAGTCCAAGTGACAAGGGACTGCTTAGTATTGCGTGAGCAATTGTGGGGCAAGGCCCCCCTTGAGGGCTAGATCCAGAATGGTATAGTGAAGTCTCTCCATCAAGGATGACTCAGTTATGAATAGGGAAATGTAACTAGAGAGTAGTCGAACATAAGGGTAGGCTAGTGAGGTGAAGGCTGTCATAGTCTCAGACTGCATATGGCCTTAGAAAAAATATGAAGAACAACAACAACAACAGCTACTACTTTTCAGGGGGTGGCAGAAAATTCTGTTTTCGCAAGCTTTACGTCCGCCACAATATTTGCCGGGAAGCCCCTGCTGTCTGGCTCTCGGTTTAGTGCATGCAGATGGAATCTTACGCAGTCCAAGGCATTGCTTAACATTAACCCTTTCGTAGTATCTCATGAACGACATATTTAGCCCACAGGGAGTCGTTCTGGCATCCTCTCCTCTCTCCAGCTTCAGCAATATGTCCAAACTGGTCTTCCGTAAACGTGGCATTTCATATACAATTAGCTATTGAAAAACCAACCAGCAATGGCCTCGAGAACCATTGAAAGACTTCCTTCTGAAATTTTAATACACTGCTGTTCTTATCTCGAAGGATCTATCGTGGACATTCAGAACCTACGCCTCACATCAAAAAGGCTCTGTAACGCCAGTTCGAATTTCCTTTTTGATACACTCAGCATCAGGATCACCACGAAGTCGATATCGACACTGGAAGCAGTATCGAACCATCCTATTTTTCGCGAGTCTATCACGGCCATCAAGCTATGTCTATGCTTCTACGGAGACATCGAAGACCAGCGAGCGAGGATCCGCCTAATAGCCGAGTGTGACATCCATTTCAATTCCATTGGCTGGACAGTTACAAGAGCTTTTAGTTCGAGACAAAGGACGGTGGAGGCAGAACAATTCAATGGAATCCTATTCCGAATCTGTGAAATTAAGCAGGCTCTGAGTGCTCTGAAGTTGGAGGGAGCTGAAACAGTTTCTCCCTCTTTGGACATTGCAACCTTGCGGGTGATAGCAAATTCTATTGGAAAATATAAAGCTCAATTTGCTGATCAACAAGTTGCCATTAAGCATGGCACTCATCTAGAAAGGATAGGGGTCGCTTTGTCCAGGTTCCGTCGTGTACTCTCGTTTAAAGTGCTGGGGAACATCGAAACAATAAATAAAAATAATTACAGAAATTGTTCAATGGCTACGATCTTGGAGTGGCTAAATTCGGATGAAACATGTTCGAACATTATTTTAAATGTGATGGCATCTCGAGGTCAGTACCTGGCGTTTGACATCGAACAAAGATTTGCGCAATCTTTCAAAGGAATTTTCTCTCAGCTTTCCAAGCACAAAATATTCCCTTCCGTCTTTGCCGTCGAATTGGACGCTCCTAAACAAATACAACTTTTTCGACCGAAAAAAGCTGAATGCGATGCTATCAGAAGTGTCGTGCATAAGGCAGAACACTTGTCATTTGCAGTGCGTTGGTGGTCGCAGCAGAACCCTGAGTTTGATTTCGTAATATCTACAGACCAGCACTATGAGATACAACACCTTGCTAGCTTAACGAAGGCGTTTTTCGATACGGAGACTGTGCGCTCCGTGGATCTGGATATCCGTGATTATTCTCTCCATACAGTTCCACCGCATATCAGTCTGTATCGATTGCTTCCTGATTGCGAGTGGCCACAGCTGCAGGCTCTATCACTCGTTTCCGTGCCATTCCATGAACAGGAGCTCCGGAAGACAGTAGATCGTCATCGAAACTCTCTAAAGAGACTGGAGATGGACGGCCTGCAGCTACTCAGTGGAAGTTGGAGGGGTGCGCTTCGGATTCTGCGTGAATTGGATAAGTTGGAGGAGGTATCGTGGAGATGGCCGACTGGTGGAGAGCATGGAAACGGTTCCTCTGAGGATGATTTGATATTTCACTTCTCCGAAAAGGACGTTTGCCAATATCTCCTTAAAACAAAGGGTGCGGAGAACCCACTTGGGTTGGGGAATATTTGACCGTGTTGTGTGAGAGCTGCAGGAAATAGGTTAGAGAATGACAAATGGGCAAGTAAGAACGGGAAGACTCGGCGGATAACTCGATTATCATTATTTGACACGAAATCTACTTTGGACACTTGTCCGTCAACAAAACACATGTTCAAGCGAATTTCCAGCTGGTTGGTAAAATGTGGTTATCATGGACCCTTTGAGGACGTTATTCAACAAACTAATGGAGGATTCTCCCGAGAACGAATACCTAACTACTTCGATAAACAAGAAAGGCTCAGTCATAATGGATGGGCATTTTTTTTTTTTTTTGTTCTTCTAAATTTTGGCTCAATCAGCATCTCTTCCTACTCAAAACAGGTGTTTTACGATCGATTCGACCTTTTCACCACTTCTACTCTGTCAAGAGCAGGAGAAGTACAGCGTAGGTGATTATCGTCCTGCTGTGCTCCTCTGCGCTCGTTAAGAGCCCTTGAACTTTCGTGCTCAACGGAAGAGCAACCTTGACAGGGAAGCGGCGGATGTCGAGTTGTACAGGAGCTGGAAACCGAGATGCGCATACGGGACCTCCTTGCATGGTACTTTGTCTCACCTTGCTCTGAGCTGCTTGGATGCCGCTTGATGCCGCAATTCGCCCTGTGCGATTCTTATGCTAATTGCGCAAATTGATTCTTGTCTGGGAGAACGCGTATTTTTGAATGGGAGGATCAAGGTTCCAACAAGGTTGCTGAGGAGGGATGGAAAACGATATTCTTACACTGGCAACAAGGTTTGCAAGATGGAGCCAGGCTTCAGATGACGACTTATGTTTCATTTTAAACGTCCCTTCAACTCAAGAGTTTTGAAATCCTTGGATTTCTTCTCTCGTTTTCCCCTGCACGGTGCAGATTTTTAATAAAGCGGAATTTGTGCCACCGACCACTGGATACATAGTTACTAAAAAATGTCCGAAGTTATTAACCATATTTATTTTATTAATATTTTTGTTAAGTCCCAAGGTTTTTCTTGTTCCGGTGTTGGGAGAGCGTTTCGTTGCAAAGGTAAGCTTGGAGGGGATATTAATATCGCTTTCATACAACAGGTATTTCCGGATCATAAATGGCGGCCTGGATGGAGGGACATAGAGATAGTCGTGATGTAATGAATCATACGTAAATGTATTTTCATGTTACTTTCGGATGTCTGCCTTGAATCCCTGGCTCATGCAGGATAGCTGGCCTATCAATCTAATCAACCACCATCTTACTTTACGAAATATTGAAACTCCAAGTGAGGTGAAGCATCGGAAATAGCATTCTCGTATGCCTTGGTAGGAAAACAAACCAGCCGTAATTGTTATGTTCAGGTGTGCTGTATCTGTACGACGGATAAGTTAATAAGAGCTGAAGGCCGGAAGAGGCCTGACGATTTTTTTTTTTTTTTCTTTTTTCGTTTTGATTTCTTTTGGATCGTTGAAGGTACGCAAGCAGGTTGTCAGGCACCTTGGATACGTCTCAATTTCTTTGAAAATGAAGGGCGTCCAGTGGCAGGGTGGACGCCCATCATTTCTCTTTTTTAATCTGACAAATAGGGGGGCGAATACCAAGTTGGAGAAAGAGAGAGCTCCTGGTCTAGTGTGGGTCTATTTTAAACCTCTGATTCAAAGTAGGGAATGAGGGCCGCTTGGCTCAAAATCAATCCGCGGAAGGTAATTTCTGTAGCTGCTGAAACGGGTAACCGTGCCAAGCGCATCTCACTTCCTCCCATTAGTGAGTGCGCCACACCGTAAAGGTAATAACACCGCAACGGTAAAGGTACCTTTTGTATGAGTTCATCATACAAACAGTACTTATAGAAAAACATGAATATCTTCAACATTATAGTAGATATGAGTTCTATATTATAATTGAAGTATATGTATCATGCTCTAAGTATATCCCAATATTTTTTTAATAATAAATCTCTCTCATTCTCTTATACTTGAACGCTGCTATGATGAATTTGAATGAATTTAGTAAAATTG